TTTTACATATGACCCTGATTAGTGTATGACGTGTATGTATAACTTGATCCTGGAATCACAAAAACTTCTTCAGTAGTTTTTTTCTATTAAGACACAAAATTAGCCTTTGTGGCTTTTTTTTTTTTTTTTTATTTGTAGGAGGTATGTACTGGCAATATATTTAAAAATCTTCTGATACTGGGGACAAAACAAAGAAACCATTTCTCAGAGATTGTAGGAGATTTAGTATAATTTTGAATTATAGGACAAAATTGTGGTGCTCTGGAATTATTTGGTTAAGAGAAGTGTATTTAAAACAGGAATAACTCTCAAAAGCCTGAATTATCCAGTTGGCTTATCAGAACTCAATTTAGTTCAGTTAGCAATTATTGAGCACCCTATAAAATGTAGATCAGTAGGCTGTAACTAATTTAAACTGGTAATGCATAAAAAATGGAATGGATTAAAAAAGAAAATAATTCCAGTGAGGCTTGGTGCATCTTTAATTCTTACTCAGTTGCAATCTTACTAGGCAATTGTAAATACCACAAAATTCCATTTACACTGCTGGGCCTTCTTCTAATTCTTCAGCCAAAGCTCTTGTCTGCCTCCGAATTTTTCCAGAACTTAAATTATATGTCATACTTTTACAAATATTGCAGGTCAAATACCAACAATTTCAATTCACTATGACTATTAGAGATTAATAAGGGAGAGAAAAGTCCAAGGAAAATAATGTAGTAGAAGGTAGAACAGACAACTTTAAGAGAAAGGACTGTGAACTCATAAAGGTAGTTTTGCTTCAATATAGTAAACAAAATAGAACAACCACAATAATAATTAAAAACATTATCATTAGGTCACACTTGTAATTCCAGCACTTCAGGAGGCCAACGTGGAAAGAGTGCTTGAGTCCAGGAGTTCAAGACCAGTCTGGGCAACACAGTCAGACCTCATCTCTACTAAATTAAAAAAACAAACAAAACTTTTTGTTTGTTTTTGAGACGGAGTCTTGCTCTGTTGCTCATGCTGGAGTGCAGTGGTGCTGTCTTGGCTCACTGCAACCTCTGCCTCCTGGGTTCAAGCGATTTTCCTGCCTCAGCCTCCTGAGTAGCTGGGATTACAGGCACGTGTCACCACGCCTGGCTAATTTTTGTATTTTTCATAGAGATAGGGTTTCACCTCAAACTGGTTTTGAACTCCTGACCTTGTGATCTGCCCGCCTTGGCCTCCCAAAGTGCTGGGATTACAGCCATGAGCCACTGCACCCTGCCCAAAACATTATTATTTCAGAAAATATTTATTTTGGGCTTACTCTGGGCCAAGCTTTTCAAGGCAGTTGGGACATATCACAGAGAAAGCATCTTTGCCTGTGTTGTGGTGCTTAAATTCTATTGAGAGGAGAGTGAGACATTAACAATAAACCTCTTGCATAAGTGATTTACCTGGAATGTTAAAAGAGATAAGCACTCCCGGAAAAACAACAACGAAACAGAGTAGAGCAGGACAGGAGGGATCATGAGTTGGGGGTGTTACAGCTTTAGATAGGACAGTCAGGGCAGACCCCTTAGATGAGGTGTTGTCTGAGCCAGGATTTGAAGGAGCTGAGGGACTTCGCCTGTGGATAACTGTAGAAAGAACATTCCTAGAAGAAAGCACAGCCTGTGCCGAAGCCCTCTGGTAGGAATGGGCCTGGGAGCTTGAGGAATACAGGAGGCCAGAGTGGTTGGGGCAGAAGGAGCAAGTGGGAAGCAGGGAAGGGCAGATGGTGCTGGGGCTTGTAGCCATCATGGGGGGTGAAGGGAGGAGCCCTTGCAGGGTTTTGAGCAAAGGAGTTTCCTGATCTGAGTGAACATTTTGGCAGCATCACTCTGCCTGCTCTGTTGAGCATAGTAGTTTGGGGGCAGAGCTGGAAGGAATACCTGTTAGGAGTCTGTCATAGTAATCCAGGTGATGGTCATGGTGACTTGGGCCAGGGTGGTGGTGATGGAGGTGGTGAGAAGTGGTCATATCCTGAATATATTGTGAAGGTGGACCTAACAGAATATCTGGAGGCATGAGATATGAAACGTGAAAGAAAGGGAGGAGGCAACCATGATGAAGGAGGAACATCAGGAGTCTGGGTCCTGGAAGCAGGAGAGGAGAGTGATCATCTGTATCAGATGCTGCCGATGGGTGCAGCAGGATGAGGGTTGAGAAGGGACCTTGGTTTTAGTGAAAGTGAGTCATCGAGGATCTTGATTCGAGTGACCATGATGAAAAAGCCATTTCAGTGGAATGTCAGGGACCTAACTGGTATGGGTTCAGTTAAGAGTGAGTGAGGAGGAGACCTGGGGACAGTGAACACAAACTGTTGGAGGAGCTTTGCCACAAAGGAGCAGATAAACGAAGTGATGGCTAGTGGGGAACTGGCGTCGAGAGAGGTTTGTTTTTGGATGGGAGAATTAAGAGCATGGCTGTCTACTTACGGGGATTGTCTATGGGAGTGGAGGAAGAGGATGATGTGGAAGAGGTAGGAGCAGAATGTTCTTGTGTGGGAGCACAGGGATGGGATGTAGCGTACAAGTGAAAAGACTGGCTTTAGATCTGAGTGAGGCTAGTTCATCTTTGCTGATAGGTTGGAGGCAGAGCACTTTTGCAGCTTGTTAGATGAGGGGGTGGGAAGCAAGGTCTCAGCTGAGTTTAACGATGGGAGAGGACGTATTGGACATTTGAGGAAGAAGAAAAGGGGTGAAGTTGCCATCTAGGGAGGGAGAGAGGGCGGTAGAGTGTGATTACTGTCAGCGTTGAGGGCCCAGTGGGGATGCTGGTGAGACCAGTGAGCACTGTTTGGTGGTTTCTCCAGCCACATTCAGCAACCTGTGTGTAGGGTAAAGTGCACAGAGCAGTCATGACGTGTCAAGTGAATAGAACAAAATAGGTGAAATGCAAGGGAGTGTTGGTAATAATTGATCATGGAACTTAAAATGGATAGGAATGAAAGGTAGGACATCCTGGAGGTGAGGGAAACTAAAAAGCGGGCAGAGTCAATGGCTTGGAGTTGTTGATGAACTGAAGGAATTGTTGGAGTTGGGGCACTAGAGGGATTGAACTGAATTGAGATGCGTGAAGCCGAGATCATGGAGGAGTTGTTATTAATAACAATGCAGTCTAGAGAATGACCATGACAGACAGGTGATTGACGCAGGGCAGAAGACAAGTATATTGGAGAGGAGGAATTCAAGAAAGTGAGGGTCCGCGACATTGGAAAGTTCATTGCTGTGTATATTGAAATTGTCAAGAATAGGCCAGGTGTGGTGGCTCACAGCTGTAATCCCAGCACTTTGGGAGGTGAATTGGGAGGATTGCTTAAGCCTAGGACTTTGAGACTGGGCAACATGGTGACTCCCATCTCTGCAAAAAATTTTAAAAATTGGCTGGTCATGGCACTACATGCATGTAGTTACAGCTGCGTGGGAGCCTGGGAGGTCAAGACTGCAGCAAGCCATGACCACATCCCTGCACTCTAGCTTGAGCAACAGAGTGAGACCCTGTCTATAAATAAGTAAACAAGAAATGACTAAGAATTAGACAGGAGTTCCATTGGACGGAGTGGCAGTGGAGAAGGAGCAGAAAGGGTGGGAAATGATAGCGGTAGGTAACGACTGTGGTAGCAAGGATAGTCTGACGACCTGAGATTCAAAGCTCGAGCATTTCAGGGACAAAGAGGGTAGAGGATGGGCTGGAGGTGGCATGAGGAGCAAAGAAGCAGTGATACGAGGGCTGCAAGAGAAAGCAAAGCCGCCACTTGAGAGGCTGCCGGGGAAGTGGTATTCTCAGAGGAGAGCCAGGTTTTCATGAGAGCGGGAAGGCAAAGCCTCAACACCAGAGAGGGTATTGGGCACGGAGGGGATTTTGCTGATGGTGCACCTTGGATTTTATCATCTGTGGAAGTGTTTTAGGAGTTACGGAGAGGTGGGAAATGAGAAAAGTTGGAGGGATATGCAGAGTCGTATGGGAATTAGAAAGAAAGAAATGAGAGGGACCTGAGAATTGAGTGCATCTGTGTGTGTGTGCACGTGTGTGCATGTATATACATGTATGCTTATGTGTGTGCATGTACATGTGTGTATGCATTGGCTGATACAAGCAAGGATAAGGGTATAGTGAGATGAGGCCCGGTGACCTTGAGATTGATGGTGGCAAGGCCATGAGCATTGGGCACAGGGTGCAATGGGTGTCTGGGCCTATTCTTAACCCTGCCCATCAGGTGAGGAGGCCTGGGGAGATGGAAGCTCAGTTCTTGAATGCAGGGCTAACTCTTAACCTCGGTGCTGAGATTGTCTGCTGAATATCGGGGTGGAGGGCTAGGGAAGGCCTGGTGTCAGTGTGGGGGCCATTCCTGTTCAGAGGGGCAAGGAGGGATATACTCTGAGAGTTCAGGTCTTCCCTTTGACTCCTACTTGTTTTTTTTTTCTTTTTTTTTTTTTTTTGAGGTGAAGTCTCTCTTTGTTGCCCAGGCTGGAGTGCAGTGGCACCATCTTAGCTCACTGCAACCTCTGCCTCCTGGATTCAAATGATTCTCCTGCCTCAGCCTTTCTAGTAGCTGGGGCTGCAGGTGTGTGCCACCACACCTGGGTAATTTTTGTATTTTTAGTAGAAACGGGGTTTCCCCATGTTGCCCAGGCTGGTCTTGAACTCTTGACCTCAGATGATCCACGGCCTCAGCCTCCTAAAGTGCTGGGATTACAGATGTGAACCACAGCACCATGGTCCTAATTCTTTCGTCAGTAAAAAATATTAAAAACCATTGTCCGTTGTCAACAAACCCATGGTTTTTTTTTTTTTAAAAAAAAAAATCAACGTGCTTTTTCTGAAACACTACTTGGACATATATCTACAATTTAGACTAAATCCTGGAAAGCTTGTAAGCTTGTGAAACAAAGGCACACACCTAGTGTGACAGACCTTTGCAGCTTTAATGTGTGCAGGAGGTTTCTAAGGATTCTGGTTTTATAACTGCTGATGTTCTTTCTTTGTAGCTGAACAGGAAGACACTCAGAAGAAAACCTTCACGTGCTGGGTAAACTCACAGTTGGCCAGGGTAAGCAAACAAAGACCAAATCAGGTTATAAATCTATTTGTTACTCCCCCTGCTCCTTCTGTTTTGACCCCAAGAAGCCATTTAAAAATGGTACTGGTGATGACAGGTAAAAGGTTGTGGAATGTCTTTTCTTGAAAGAATGTGCTAAAAGTTACCTTGATCTTGTTTTGATGTATTAGTTACTTTTTCTCAACACAGGAAAAAAGGTACTTTTGTTAAGGATATAGGATAGTGCTGTAGAAATATTCAAATTAATCACATCTTTTGTATCAGGTGAAATACAGTAATACTGATTTGCGTGTAATGCATATTATGCATTAGAAACTGTCCTAAACTTTTTTTTTGAGATGGGGTCTGACTCTGTCGCCAGGCTGGAGTGCAGTGGTGTGATCTTGGCTTACTGCAACTGCCTCCTGGGTTCAAGCGATTCTTGTGTCTCAGTCTTCCAAGTAGCTGGGACTACAGGCACGCGCCACCACATCCAGCTAATTTGTGTATTTTTAATAGAGTCAGGGTTTCACCATGTTAGCCAGGATGGTCTCTATCTCTTGACCTCGTGATCCGCCTGCCTCAGCCTCCCAAAGTGCTGGGATTACAGGCATGAGCCACTGTGCCTAGCCAGAAACTGTCCTAAATTCTTTAAATGTAATGATTACGACAACTCCTGACAAATGATTTCACAACATCCCTCTGAGATAGATAGTAATATGCCTGTTTAAAGGTCAAGGAAACTGTGGTGCAGAGGAGTTATGTGACTTGGCGTGTGGTCACACAGCTTGTAAGTGATAGTGCTGGGATATGAAACCAGACAGTCTGGACTCAGAGGCCTTGATCATAATCACTGTGCCATCCTTACCACACTGATGCCAAGTGTCTAGAGTAACCTAGATACACAGTGAATGAGCCTCTTCTCACAGACCACTCACACTGTTTTCTCTCTGTCCATTTCAACATGATGCTTGTAATTCTAACAAAGGGTAAATACATAAGCAGCTTACTCCAGAAATGTAATCTGTTCTCCAGATGGGTCAATAGCGGCTGATTCTAAATGTCTTTGATGCCACTTAGGTGCACAGGTTTTAAGCTCTCAGTGAAAGCTCCATGCAGAAAGGGTGTTGTGTTACTGGAAATGTGCCATAAGAGAAATTAAATTAGCTGCTTTTCTTACCATGTTTTGCTATGAATCGTTGCATATTCTCTCACGTTCTCTTAAGAAGAAAGTCATTACTGAATTTTAGTTTTTCACAAATCACATTTATGATATTCTTAAAGGTATTGTTTTTGAACCAAAGTTTAAATGATTATTTTTCTTTTTTTCTTCTGTAGCACTCTTCTCCCTCCGTTATATCTGACCTATTCACAGACATTAAAAAGGGGCATGTCCTCCTGGATCTGCTAGAAGTACTTTCTGGGCAACAGTTGGTAAGATTTTTAAATGACACTGAGAAACTTTCTGTTGATTTACAAAAAATGTATTTCATTTTTTCTGAGTAATATATTTGCTTGAATTTTGCAGCCTCGGGATAAAGGATCTAATACATTCCAGTGTAGAATCAATATAGACCATGCCTTGACATTCCTAAGAAACCGATCAGTAAGTATAAATTTCATTTGAAAATTCACAGGAGATGGCTGGGCGTGGTGGCTCACGCCAGTAATCCCAGCACTCTGGGAGGATCACCTGAGGTCGGGAGTTCAAGACCAGCCTGACCAACTTGGTGAAACTCCATCTTTAAAAGAAAAAAAAAATTCATAGGAGAGATTAATGCTCTGGAATATTTCCTCCATTTAACCTGCATTTCATGTTTTCCAGATCAAGCTAATAAATATTCATGTTACTGATATAATTGATGGAAACCCATCCATAATCCTTGGCCTAATTTGGACAATTATCCTGCACTTTCATGTAAGTAGATTGATGATATAGAAATCATTTCTGCCCTACTGCAGTATGAAATAAATGTAATACAATAAGTATGACTTTACTAGATTCAGTCCTGAGCTTCTTCTATAAATAGGACCTGTGGAAATCTTGAACAAGTAGAAAATAATAGCAGACCTTTTGCCATTTTTGTTGCTGGTTTTTAAAATTTTTTATTTGTTTTTATTTTTATTTTTTTGAGATGGAGTCTCACTCTATCGCCCAGGGTGGAGTGCAGTGGTGCAATCTCAGCTTACTGCAACCTCCACTTCCTGAGTTCAAGCGATTCCCCTGTCTCAGCCTCCCGAATAGCTGGGACTATAGACACGCGCCACCATGCCTAATTTTTGTATTTTTAGTAGAGACGGGGTTTGAGACCAATCTGGTCTCAAACTCGTGACCTCAGGTGATCTGCTTGCCTCGGCCTCCCAACGTTCTGGGATTACAGGCATTAGCCACCGTACCTGTCCTGTTGCTGTTTTTCAATTGAAAGTTGAATGATGAATTATCATAGTATCCTGCATTATCCATAATATCAGTGCCAGTTTGAACAGAACCTGCCTTGATAAATGTTTGCTTATTATGGCAGAGGAGAGAGTAGGAAGTTTCTGGAGTAAATGCTTGAAATCTAACCACTAAACTTTGTAAAGCCTCCTTATTTGGGGGGATCCCTGTCCAATCTGACTATGAATAATCCTACAACATCCAGTTCTATCCCAAGACTGACTTGTAGATTCATTTCATTTCACAGATATTTTTGAGCACTTAGTATATGCTAGCTCTTGTATGAGGACATCAAGATTTAGTGATGGTTATAGTTCTGACTTTATAAAACATGATTGATAAATATGTTTTCTCAGGCCTGGAATTCTGACATAGTGCAGGTTTTCTGCACTACCTAAAAGGTTGCATTTGCTGTATGTCCATAATTATTTTGAAAATAACTTGGAAACAATACTTATTTTAGAGAAACTAGAAAATAGCGTAACTAACATACAGTATAACATTTAAAACATGCAGAGACAGACGACATATTATTTCTGAATACATGCATTTGTAATTACAATGGAATAATATACATGAAGATGATGAAAACTAAATTTAAGATTGTGTTTTCTTTTCTGAGAAAGGAGATAATGGGATTGGAGAGGGAAAGACAGAGGCTCAAATTGTTTCTGCGTTTTATTTCTTTAAGAAAATCTAAACCAAATATGGTGAAATGTTAGAATTTGATAGTTTATAGGCATTTATTACTTTTTCCTATTTATTACAGCTTTCTGGTATTTCAAATATAATTTAAAATTTTAATATAGATAAAAATTATCTAAATCCACCTTTCACTATAACTGCTATAATTTAGTGTATAGTCTTTATGATATATACAGCAAGAATTAATGTATATTCATATGTATATATTTTAACAAATGGAGGCATGATGTTTGCTGTAACGTACTATATTTCACTAATGATAGAAGGCACATGATCATTTGTAATTATAGGTAATTTCAGATTGAATGCCGTTAAGATAAAACCTTTGCCATACGATCTTAATTATTTCTATGGGTCTAATTCTTAGAAGTGACATTGTGCCATAGGGTTTGCAAACTTAAAGCTTTCTTTTTGAGACTGAGTCTTGCTCTGTTGTCCTGGCTGGAGTGTAGTGGTGTGATTTCGGCTCACTGCAATCTCTGCCTCCCAGGTTCAAGCTGATTCTCATGCCTCAGCCCCCCAAGTAGCTGGGATTACAAGTGCTCACCCCCACGCCTAGCTAAATTTTATATTTTTAGTAGAGACGGGGTTTCACCATGTTGGCCAAGCTAGTTTCAAACTCCTGACCTCGAATGATCCACTTGCCTCGGCCTCCCAAAATGCTGGGATTACAGGCGCGAGCCACCACACCTGGCCTTTTTTTTTTTTTAAATTAAAAAAATTTAAATAAACTTTTGTTGATGTATATGTAACATACACAGATAAAAATGAACAGGTCTTAGGTACAGAGCTTGATGAATATTTACAAATGAAACACACCCATATAATCACCCTACCAGATAGAAATATGGAACTTTGCCAGCATCCCAAAGTGCCCCAGGTCCTTCTCCCAATCACTGCCTTCCTTTCCTAAAGATAAGCACCACTTTGAGCTCCATGGATAAGTGTAGAGTCTTTAACTCCATACAAATGGAATTATAAATGTCTTCTTTTATGTATACTAAGTACTCTTTTGTGTTTGACTTACTTCACTTTACATCATATCTGTGAGATTTACCTGATTGTAGTATCAGTAAGTCTTTCTTTTTCATTACTGTGCATGAATATACAATTGTATGTATATACCATATTTACCATTGTATTGTTGATGTATATTTCTTTTGCTGCCAGTTTTTTTCATTTTTTTTTTTTTTCTTCATTTTTTTTTTTAAGAGATGGAGTCTCACTCTGTCACCCAGGCTGGAGTGCAGTGGCACGATCTTGGCTCACTACAGCCTCTGCCTCCCTCCTGGGTTCAAGTGATTCTCCTACCTCAGCCTCCCAAGTAGCTGAATTATTGGTGTGTGCCACCACACCCAGCTAATTCTGTATTTTTACTAGAGATGGGGTTTCACATTGTTGGCCAGGCTGGTCTTGAACTCCTGACCTCAAGTGATCTGCCTACCTCTGCCTTTGAAAGTGCTAGGATTATAGATGTGAGCCACCACAAGCAACCTGTTGCCAGTTTTTAGCTTTATGAATAAAGCTGCCAAGGACATTCTTGTATAAATCCTCATTTCCAACCTGTATCTACCTAGGAATGCAATTGATGGTCTTCGAACATATGATCTTTAGCTTTAGTATATACTGCCAAACAGTTTATCAAAGTGGTTGTTCAAGTTTACACTCACCAGAGTTTCTTGCCGCAATCCCTGCTGCTAATAGTTGGCATTTAAAATTTTTTTATTTAAGCCTCGATGTTATGTGTAATGATTTGTAGGCGTTTAAAAATATATTCTAGGCTGGGTGCAGTGGCGCAGGCCTATAATTCCAGCACTTTGAGAGGCTGAGGCAGGAGGACTGTTTGAGCTCAGGAGCTTAAGACCAGCCTGGCAACATAAGGAGACTCCATCTCTACAAAAATAAAAATAAAAATAAAAATAATTAGCTGGGCATGGTGGTACCTGTCTGTGGTTCCAGCTTTTCTGGAGGCTGAGGTGAGAGAAGCACTTGAGTCCAGGAGGTTGAGGCTGTAGTGAGCCGTGACTGTGCCATTGCACACTAGCCTAGGCAACAGAGCAAGACCCTGTCCCCAAAAAACATACGTAGGTATAGATAAATACACACACATATATCCTGGAGATCATATATTTATTCATGTAATATATATGATCTTCAGTGTATATATTACATATATAATATATATTGATATATATTCAACAAAGAACTTTTATCTAGTATATGTATACATATATATGTATACTTTTGTCCAGTATACATATGTAATATATATATGTGTATATAATATATATACTGAAAAAAAGTTCTTTGTAGAATATATATAAATTGCAACGAATTCTGACTCTGTGGCTTGCTTTTTCAGTCTTAATGAAGAAGCATTCATAATTTTAATAGTTTTAATGTATCAACTGCTTTTGTGGCTTATACTTTTAGATTCCTTTTTTTTTTTTTTTTTGGAGACAGTTTTGCTCTGTTACTCAGGCTGGAGTGCAGTGGCATAGTGGCATAATCTTGGCTCACTGCAACCTCCACTTCCCAGGTTCAAGTAATTCTCCTGCCTCAGTCTCCTGAGTATCTGAGATTACAGGTGTGCACCACCATGCCTGGCTAATTTTTGTATTTTTAGTAGAGATGGGGTTTCGCCATGTTGGCTGGGCTGGTCTTGAACTCCTGACCTCAGGTGATCCACCTGCTCAGCCTCCCAAAGTGCTGGAATTACAAGTGTGAGCCACCATGCCTGGCCTTTTATATTCTTTAAGGACCTCTAAAACTGTGAAGTATTTTCTAGAACAGTTTTGTCCAATAGGATTTTCTGCAATGATGGAACTATTCCATAGCTATATTGTACAAAACAGTGACCACTAGACACTTGTGGCTGTTGAACACTTGAGATGTGGCTAGCATGGCAGGGGAACTGAGTTATTCAATTAATTTGAATTTAAATCTCACATGTGCCTAGTAGCTGTCATACTGGACAGCCCAGTTCTGAAAACTTGTTTTATATTTTATATTTAGATCTGTAGTCTTTCAAGAATGGATTATCTATGTTATATTGAAACAATCAAAATTTACTTTTTTCCATATAGCTATCCAGTTTATCAACACTGTGTATTGGAAAACTCACAGTTTTTCTACTGTGCTGTGTAGTGTCATCTTCATACATGAAGTCGCCCTATATGTGAGACTCTTTTTTTTTTTTTTTTAAGACGGAGTTTCGCTCTTGTTACCCAGGCTGGAGTGCAATGGCGCAATCTCGGCTCACCGCAACCTCCGCCTCCCGGGTTCAGGCAATTCTCCTGCCTCAGCCTCCTGAGTAGCTGGGATTACAGGCACGTGCCACCATGCCCAGCTAATTTTTTGTATTTTTAGTAGAGACGGGGTTTCACCATGTTGACCAGGATGGTCTCGATCTCTTGACCTCGTGATCCACCCGCCTCGGCCTCCCAAAGTGCTGGGATTACAGGCGTGAGCCACTGCGCCCGGCCGAGACTCTTTTTTTAAATTCTTTTTTCTTTTTCTTTTTGAGATGGGGTCTTACTCTGTCACCCAGGCTGGAGTGCAGTGGTGAGGTCTCGCCTCACTGCAGCCTCCACCTCCTGGGTTCAAGCGATTCTCCTGTCTCAGCCTCCTGAGTAGCTGGGAGTACAGGTGCCCACCACCATGCCCAGCTAAATTTTGTATTTTTAGTAGAGACAGGGTTTCACCATGTTGGCCAGGCTGGTATCAAACTCATGACCTCGTGATCCGCTTGCCTCGGCCTCCCAAAGTGCTGGGATTACAGGTGTGAGCCACTGCGCCCAGCTTGTGAGGCTCCAATTTCAAATGACCTATTTTGCTTCATGACGTCTCTTTGCACCAGTACTATACTTGGTTAATTTTGGTAACTATATAGTAAGTCATGATATCTGATAGTGTAAGTTGTCCAACTTGTTCTTTAAGAAAATCTTCATTATTCTTTACTTTTGCATTTTTATATAAATTTTATGAATAACTTGTCACACATGTGCGTGTACACACATACACATTTTGTGCTGGGATTTTTATTGGGATGACATGGAATATACAAAACATTTTGGAAAAAACTTATATTTAAAAATATACATTTTTCAATCTATAAATATAATATTTTAATCTGTTCAAAATATTTTCTAATTTTCTTTACTGTTGCTTAGACCTAGTGCAGTGGCTCATACCTGTAATCCTAGCAGTTTGGGAGGCTGAGGTGGGCAGATCACAAGATCAGGAGTTCAAGACCAACCTGACCAACATGGTGAAACATTGTCTTCACTAAAAATATAAAAATTAGCCAGGCGTGGTGGCACGCGCCTGTAATCCCAGCTACTCAGAAGCCTGAGGCAGCAGAATTGCTTGAACCCGGGAGGCAGATGTTGCAGTGAGCCAAGATTGCGCCACTTCACTCTAGCCTGGGTGACAGAGTGAGACTTCGTCTAAAAAAAAAAAACAAAACGTATATATATGGCGCTTAATTTCTGAATGGAGATTTTGTCTTTTATATATTTGCTGCTGACTAGAATTTCGGTGTGGTCAGAGAGCATCCTCTGAGTGATTTCAGTCCTTCAGAATTGCTGCAGCTTGCTTTGTGGTGCAGCATCGTCAGCTTCAGTAACTGTTCCGTATGCTCCTGAAAGGAATGTGGGTGTAATGCTTTCTAGATCAATGCTAATTGGATGAAGTTTGTTAATTGTGTTGTTGACATCTATTATTATTGATTGTCTGGTTAGTCTGTCAGTTGTTGAGAGAAATGTATTAAATACTTTTATGTTTATGAATTTATCTTTTAAAATTTTGGATAGATATCGTATTGCCCTCCAAAAAAATTTGGCCAATTCGTACATTTACTAGCAATATAAGAATGTCTAGTTTCTCATACTTTCATTATCACTGGATACTACCTTTACATTTCTTTTGCCTGTATAATATAGTAAAAGCTATCCTTTTGCTGTATACATTTAAATTTCTTAAATTACGAATGCAACTGTTTTTTATAGATTTAATGGCAATTTTATTTTATTCCTCTGGACTTGTCTATCCATATCTTTGAGTTGCTTTTTTTCTATGTGTATATTTGTTCTTAATGGATGCATTTCACTTGATCTAGTCTCTAAAGATACTCTAGACTAGGAGCTTAATTTGTTCAGTTCAATTCAGTTTGACAGGTGCTAAGCTGCAGTGAAGTGCTCTGTAAGCACTTTAGGGGGATGAATGTATACTAGCTCTCAACATGGACAGCCTTCCTGGGTGAGGGTAAGAAACAAATCAGGTCATTCCTTAGGAAGCAAAAGTGCAGTCCACATGGCAGATACTACTATTCAAGGATTTGCCCAGCACTCATTTCACCAGGAGTAAACTGTGACTGTCATAGGAGGCTTTTCAGGTCTTACTTTGACTGGAAATTTTGGCCCAATGCTGGTAACTTATGCTTTTATAAACATTAAGTCTTATTTTGCCTTCCTTAGATTGAGAAGCTTGCCCAGACTCTTTCTTGCAATTACAATCAGCCTTCCCTGGATGATATGAGTGTGGCTGATTCATCTCCTACCTCAAGTCCTCCAGCTAAGAAATGCTCCAAAGTGCAAGCAAGATGGCAGATGTCTGCAAAAAAGGCCCTTCTTTTGTGGGCTCAGCAACAATGTGCCATGTAAGTAGTTTGCTATGACCATAAGAGATACCTGTATCAACCAGTAGCACCTCACCACCCAAATACCACCTTACCATCCAAACGTCCCTCACTTGCAATGAAAATTCTTATGCTCCCCCTTCCTCTCAGTGCATCTTCCACACGTGGAAGCCAGAGAGCTCAGCCTCTTTTGGTTTCAAAGGCTGGAGTGTGGTATCACCTGGGTAAACTAACTCATCCCTACCTGCTGTGTTTAGGTGGCCTATTATTACATGGAAATAAAGTGGTACTTAAATGCCAGGCATAGTGGCTCACTCCTGTAATCCCAGAGCTTTGGGAGGCTGAGGCAGGCAGATCTCTTGAGGTCAGGAGTTTGAGATCAGCCTGGCCAACATGGTGAAACCTCGTGTCTACTAAAAATACACAAAAAATTAGCCTGTTATGTTGGCACATGCCTGTAATTCCATCTGCTTGGGAGGCTGAAGTGGGAGAATTGCTTGAACCTGGAAGGTGGAAGTTGCAGTGAGCCGAGATCATACCACTGCACTCCAGCCTAGGTGACAGAGTGAGACTCTGTCTAAAAAAAAAAAAAAAGTGGTACTTAAATATTGTTTTCTTTATGCACAGTTCCCCTATGCATCTGCAAAGTAGATTTAGGTTTAAAAAATTTTACCACAATAAGAGCCCTTTAAAAGACAGCACGGTATCTTAATTGTATTCCCAGGACCTAGCCTAATGTGATTTCATGGCATGTGCTCCTTAAACGTGTGTTGAATGAATGAATTAACAAATGAGTGATAAGGCCGGGCTCGCTGGCTCACACCTATAATCCCAGCACTTTGGGAGGCCAAGGCAGGAGGATCACAAGGTCAAGTGATCAAGACCATCCTGGCCAACATGGTAAAACCCCATCTCTACTAAAAATATAAAAATTAGCTAGGCGTGATGCTGGGTGCCTGTAGTCCCAGCTACTCGGGAGGCTGAGGCTGGAGAATCTCTGGAACCTGGGAGGCAGAGGTTGCAGTGAGCCAAGATTGTACCTGCATGACAGAGTGAGACATCGTCTCAAAAAAAAAAAAAAAGTGATAAGTAGCCAGTACATAAACTTAAATATTCAGAGACCTCAGAGTTTAGAAACATAGCTCAATTAGGAAGTACAGAGGCTAGACAGTATGTGTTTTGAGACAGGGTCTCACTTTGTCGCCCAGGCTCGTGTTCAGTGGTGCAATTATGGCTCACCACAGCCTTGACCTCCCAGGCTCAATTGATCCTTCCACCTTAGCCTCCTGAGTAGCTGAGACTGCAGTTGTACACCATCATGTCTGGCTAATTTTTGCATTTTTTGTAGAGATGGGGTTTTGCCATGTTGCCCAGGCTGGTCTCAGACTCCTGAGCTCAAGCAATTCACCTGCCTCTGCCTTCCAAAGTGCGGTGATTACAGGTGTGCATTCTTAAAAATTGGGGATAACGAAGGAAAGTTAGTGCTCATATATATATTTTAACAAAGAAAAATGTTTTCTGCTCTTACTTTTTCATTGTAACCAATGTCTGAGATGGAGTTTAGGAAGAGCTGTAGAGTTCAAAATGCATTTCTTGTCACATCATAGAATTGTTTGGTAAATAGGGTCATAAATATGTTGCTAAGCCCTTTTAAATGCAGGACTTCAGAGTAAGTCCCTCCTGCTGACAGTCCAAGGAAGAGCTGAATTTCTGCCTTCAGCCTTACTTTTATTCTTTTAGAGAGGGAGTTTCGCTCTTATCGTCCAGGCTGGAGTACAGCAGCACGATTTCAGCTCACTGCAACCTCCACCTCCCAAGTTCAAGCAATTCTCCTGCCTCAGCCTCTTGAGTAGCTGGCATTACAGGTGTGCACCACAATGCCCAGCTAATTTTGTATTTTTAGTAGAGATGGGATTTTACCATGTTGGCCCAGGCTGGTCTCAAACTCCTGATCTCAGGTGATCCGCCCACCTCGGCCTTCCAACGTGTTGCAAGCGTGAGCCACCACGCCCGGCCCAGCCTTACTTTTCTTTAGTTGCCATTCATCCTCTGAACATACATAACCTTATGTGGAGGCTTAAAGTTCATTAAATGAATTGTACTCCAGTTTTATAAATTTTAATAATCCCAAACAGTATTTGTGGAAAGCACTATGTCATACTCAGATTTATTTCATTTATGCATAAATAACCTTCAAGTCCTTTCAAAGCCATGTATTTTACCATAGTGTGTCTTTTCTTCGTGTCTCCCCACTTTCTTAGTTTTCAACTATAGAGCTTATGCTAAGCTTATTTTTGTGGGGTTTTGCCATGTTGCCCAGGCTGGTCTCAAACTCCAGCCTCTTATTAAATTTAGCCCCTCTTTTTAAGTAATTCATCATGAGTTTATCCTAGTTTTGGCCTTCATTACTGGTATTATTAGATAACTTTTATTTCAATATTCTGTGTTGTATTTCAGTAAGACTGTTTTGTAAGTAATATGTTGTATTTTCTCATTTGTGAAACAGATGAATCAGGCCTCATTCCCCACATCTAAATGAGCATTGGTCCTGCCAACCAGGAGCCTAATTCCACCCTCTCTAAGGTCTGGCAGCAGCGTCTTTGAGGTATTGGCTTTGGCTCATCAGTGCAGAGCTGACCTCAGCTGCAGCCACCATCCCTTTAGGTATTATTAGGTTGGTGCAAAAGTGATTTTGGTTTTTGTCATTACTTTTAATTACTTAAAAGTAATTGCATTACTTTTGCCATTGCTTTACATTTTGCCATTACTTCTAATGGTAATGGCAAAATGTAAAGCAATGGCAAAAGTAATGGTACTTCTTCTGTACCCACCAAATAGTTTAGCTTAGTCTTGCTCACTCTAAAGTCAGAGAGTACCTGGATGTGAAGTCCTGGCGCCCTGTACTTTCTAACTGGTGACTTTGAACACCTTATCTCTTTTTGCTGCAGTCTCTTCAGTCATAACATCTGGACAACAGTAATGTCATAGGTTGTTGTATGCATGATAAGAATTAATTTTTTTTAAAGCATTTAGAACAGTTTCTGGATGAAGTAGGTACCACAGACGTATTTTTTAGACAACACAAAAATGACGGCTATGTGACTGCTATGTAGTTTATTACAGTCATGTTTTAAGCTTTTTTTCTCTAAGTAAACAGGAAGACCCAGGTCATCTGAAGCAGACTATTTCCTGAGTAGCTTTTATCATTTGATGAATACCTTCAAACAGTCTAGTGAATGTCTTCATGCTTTTTATGGGATATGAAAGGACACTCTAGTTGTTCTAGAGTATATCCCAAACATTACAGGCAACTATCCCGTTTGCAAGATTTTCACCAATCCTTTATGAAGCATGGAATACTGATGAAGTGATTTTTTAAAAATAGGTGTCTTAAGCCCTGATTATGTGCCAGGCACTATTTGGGGAATGAGTCCACAGTGGTGAACAAGAGAGACAAAGCCCTTGCTCTCAAAGGCTTGCATCCTGATGGGAAAAGCAGGAAATATCCTTAAGAAATATGATAATTACAGTTGACGAACAGATTAGGAAGGACTTTTGATATGGTCAGGAAGGTTGAGCACAGGGAGAGTGTATCATTTAGTGTAGGTGGTATGGCAGGGCTTTGCTATGGAGAGACTTTGAGCTGAGCCCTGAAGTGGGAGGCTTTATGAAGATCTATGAGAAGGAGCATCCAGGGACAGTGACTAGGAGGGCAGCTGTGAGAAACAGGAACGAGGCTGGTGTGTCTGTAACGCTGTAAGAGAGGGGAGATAGGGCTTATGTGCCAGGGTGAGAGACGAAATACAATGGCTAGCTAATGATGTTTGTATATATCTGTAGATATCTATAATCTATAGATATATAATATTTATAATATAGCTATATAATATGTAATATAGATATACAATATATATGTAATATATACATAATATATCTATAGGTAGCTATAGATGTATAAGATAGATATAGCTATCTATAATATCTATATTATAGATATGAATCTATAGATATCTATATATTATATAGATATGTATTGATATATCTATAGATATATCGATAATTGTATATCTATAATATAATATGTAGATATATATGTATCTATATATATAAAATATATTAATCGATATCTACATATATTATAATTACATATATAATACATATTAATCTATATCTACGTATCTTATACATTATATCTATGTATGTATGTATGTTATAGATATATAATATAGATATATCTCTATAGATACATATCTATGTATTATATATCTACATATTATAGATATAGATATATTTATATAGAGATATATCTACGTATTATATATCTACATTATATAGATATAACTATATTATATAGTTTTTATTATGTTATATAGATATAGCTATATTATATAGTTTTATATATCTACATATGATATAGCTATAGCTATATTATATGTTTTTTTATTGTGATAAATATATGTAATCTAAAATATGCCATTTTGACCTTTCTTTTTTTTTGTTTTTTGAGACGGAATCTCACTCTGTCTCCAGGTAGGAGAGTGCAGTGGTGCGATCTCAGCTCACTGCAACCTCCCCTTCCCAGGTTCAAGCAATTCTCCTGCATCAGTCTCCCAAGTAGCTGGGATTACAGGCACATGCCACCATGCCCAGCTAATTTTTGTATTTTTAGTAGAGACGGGGTTTCACCATTTTGGTCAGGTTAGTCTCCAACTGCTGACATTGTGATCCACCTGCCTCGGCCCACCAAAATGCTGGGATTACAGATGTGAGCCACTGCCTCCAGCCCATTTTGACCATTTTGAATTGTACAGTTCAGTGGCACTAACTATATTCATATTGTTTTCTAACCATTACCATTCTCTGTCACCAGAACTTTTTTCATTTTGTGAAACTGCCGCTGTTAAACTATAACTCCCTATTACTCCCAACCACCATTCTACTTCTCTGGCCTCTGGCAACCACCATTCTACTTCTCTGTGAATTTGACTATTCTGCATACTTCATACGAGTGGTATCATATGGTATGTGTCCTTTGGTGACTGGCTGATTTCACTTTGCGTGGTTTTTAAGGTTCATTCATCTTGTAGCATGTGTCAGAATTTCCCTCCTTTTTTTGGAGACAATCTCATTCTGTCAGCCAGGCTGGAATGCAGTGGTGCGTTTGTAGCTCACTACAGCTTCAGTTTTCCAGTATCAGGTGATCCTCTTGCCTCAGTCTCTGAATGCGCTGGGATTACAGGCATGAGCCAATGTGCCCAGCCAGAATTTTCCTTCTTTTTAAGGCTGAATAATAGTCATTGTACATGTATACCACGTTTTTAAAAATCCATTCATCTACAATGATGGATTTTATGCAGAAGAGTAACAAGGTCTATCTTTCTAGTAAGCTACTGAGCATTGATTGCAGACACTGTATCATTTAATTTGTCCCACTGAAAAAGAAAATGCTTTTCTCTAGTTAGGAACCTTACCTGTATGTAGAAGTTTAAAGGCAGACTTGAGCCAACAGATTTGGTAATGAAGGAAATCTTGAGTGAATATCATTATCTCCTGGAGGGCTTTAAAAGGCACAGATTTCAGGCTCACCTCCAGAGTTTGATTCAGCAGGTATGGGACTCAGCCTGAGAATTTGCATGTCTAAACCTGCAGTCCATGTGACACTAATGCTGCTGGCTCAGGAACAACATGTTGAGAATCAGTGTTCTGTAATATTTTGAGTGTCACGAAACTTGGCATTTTCCTTTAATTTGGTCACAAGATTAGAAATTTTATCTGGCATGATATATCTAATTTATTTGATTTGCCAAATTTTGTTTTAATTACTATCGAATATAGTGGAGGTGTATGTTACATTATTTTTAATAGTATTTATCATGTTTTTGTCCTTTTATGATAGGTATGAGTCTGTCAGTGTGACAGACTTTAAGTCAAGCTGGAGAAATGGGATGGCTTTTTTGGCCATCATTCATGCCTTGCGACCAGACCTAATTGACATGAAGAGTGTGAAGCATAGGTCCAACAAAGACAATCTGAGAGAGGCCTTCAGAATTGCAGAACAAGAATTAAAAATCCCCAGACTCCTGGAACCAGAAGGTAAAGAAGCTTCTTTGCTTTTAAAACAATTTTTAAGGCTTCGCATGAAGTTGATTTCAAAATAGTATCTGTACATGAGCAAACATAAAAGCATTCTATTTTACTCCTGGAGGATTTAACTTAAACTCTTTATTGTATTTTATGCAATTAAAGATTTCCTACCAGTTTGTTAATTTCAGTAATTATAGGGGAAGCCACAGCTGAAAGCAAACAGTGCTGTTATTGGGAATAATTTGAGCCTCTGTCTTGATTTTCTTCTATTACATTCTGTGTTTTGTTCTTCTTGATTCTGTTATTCTGTTCTAAATCTCTTTTGTGAGATGTTTCTCTAAGTCTTGAATTAAAGTTGTTTGTTTGTCTCTCCTTCTTCACTCCCTCTGTGTTAAAGCTAAACCCCTATGAGAATAGAAACTGCTGCTTTCCTGCCTCCTCCTAAATGGTTGGCCAAGCTTTGTCCATAGATTCTGCTCCATCAGTTGTGTTGGATTGTTAACAGCACCATCCTAAGTACTGGTTATTTTTACAGAGATCATCATTGAATTATAATTTAGCTTTATAAAATTAAGATTTAAAAATTTTACTTCTTTCTCAAAAGCACTTTACTTTGGATAGTAATGCTTCATAATGTAACCAAAGCTATTAAAAAAATATTAAGGTCATAATAGAGGTGTACAGGATTAGTGAAAATTATGATGAATGAATAGGTCAAGTACATTTAAATTCTATTCTCAGCTCTATTACTGGGGTGTGTATATAAATGTTTAGTGACTGGCTCTCCAAAACAATGGGAAACACACACGCATTTACACTGTCTCTTACAGATTTTACTGATATTAAGGAATGTGTATTATTTTATAAATAATTATAAAATTTATGATATACTTTCTTACAGATTCCATATAGCCCCAAAATGCTTTTGTTGATTTTTGCCAAAGTCTATATCAATCTATAACCAACTTAGGGTTGTATTTGCAGAAGAAGTATAGTTCTGACATGAGTGTTAGTTTAGAATTTCCTTTATGTTAATAAGTAAGTGGAATAAGAGGTATATTAGAATTTCATTTGCTCTTCAATGACATGAATGACTTCTTTGCTGAATCGAATACTAGAAGAATATTTTTTCAGCTTTTTATGCTATTCACAATGCAACTAACACCTATAGACAACACATTTTTAAGATTTACCTGCATTATTAACAATTTCTTCATCCCTTTTTTAGCAGTTAACAAAACAGTCAAGCCCTCATTTGCAGACTTCTGTGTTATAAATGCTACTGCTATAACTGATTTCAAGTTACCAATGTACAGTCACTGAACACAGAATTAGAGAAAGATGTGCAGTACCCCACATCATTATATATTGTTTCCATCATACAGATACAATAGACAGATAGCCTCAAGAGCATAGATAATAGTAAAATGTAATAAAATAATTGGGAAGTGATAAGTTTTGAGTTTTTTATTACCTATGCTTTTAATATAATTTGTACATTTGTATTTTATATACATCATTAAAAATTATGATTTAATTTTTAATGATGATTTTTTTCACAACCAGTTTACAAAACTTCTGAACATTTATCAATCGGCTCTCTTAAGCCTGTGTGAGTCAGCTAGCTCCAGCGTACTCACTGACTAGGGACTGTGGTTTTGTTACTTAATTTTTTGGTTTCAAGCAGCTTTGTTAAGAGATAATTCACATACCATATAATTTATCCATTTAAGTATACAAATTAGTGGTTTCTAGTATACAGCCTGCCCTCCATGTCTGTGGGTTCTATATCCATGGAGTCAGCCAACATTGGATTGAAAATACTTGAAAAAAAAAAAAAAAGCATCTGTCCTGAGCATGTACAGATGTTTTTCTTGTCATTATTCCCTAAACACGTGTTATACAACTGTATAACAACTATTTACGTAGCATTTACATTGCATTGGATATTAAAAGCAATCTAGATATGAGTCCTGGAACCAGTCCCCGTGGATACCAAGGACAGCTATATTCACAAAATTGTTCAGTCATTGCCACAGTTTGTTTTAGAACATTTTTGTTATCCCCAAAGGAACTCCTGTGACCATTAGCAGTTACTCTCCATTTGCCTCCAACCCCTGCATGCCCCAGTACTTTCTGTCAGGATAGTTTTGCCTCTTTTGAACATTTCACGTAAGCGGAATTATACAATATATGGTGTTTGTGACTGGTTTCTTTAACTTAGTAAGTAAAATGTCTCCAAGATCATCCATGTTGTGGCATATGTCAGTATTTTATTCCTTTTTGTTTGTTTGTTTGAGTCAGAGTCTCACTTTGTTGCCCAGGCTGGAGTGTAGTGGTGGATCCTGGCTCACTGCAACCTCTGCCTCCTGGGTTAAAGCGATTCTTGTGCCTCAGCCTCCTGAGTAGCTGGGACTACAGTTGTGCTCCACCTCACAGTTTTCTTTTCTTTTTTTTTTTTTTTTTGAGACTCCATCTCAAAAAAAACCCACTTTGATTTTTAGAACAATTTTAGATTTATGGAAAAATTGAGAACATAGTGCAATAAGTTTTCATAAACCCTGCAACCAATTTCCCCTATTGTTAACATCTTAGTATAGTACATTTATTACAATTAATGAACCAATATGAATACGTTATTTTAAATTAAGGCCATACTTTATTCAGATTTTCTTAGTGTTTAGCTAATGACCTTTTTCTCATTCAAGATCTCAGCCAGGATACCACATTATATTTAGCTGTCATGTCTCCTGTGACTCCTCTTGTTTGTGACTTTTCCAGACTTTTAAATAAATGACCTTGACAGTTTTGGAGATTACTAGTTAGGTATTTGGTACGATGCCCGTTTATTGCAATTTGCCTTATTTTTTTTCTCATGATTATGCTGGATTTTTGTGTTCTTGGGAGGAAGAACACAGCAGTAGAATGTCATTCTCATCACATCCTTCCAAGGGTACGTACTGTCAGCATGATTTATCACTGTTGATGCTTACCTTGATTCCCCTGGCTGAGCTAGTGCTGATCAGGGTTCTTATGGTGAAGTTACTCTTTTCTCCCCCTTCTTTCCAAACTGTACTTTTTGGAGGGAAATCACTGCACAGCTCACATTTGGGAGAGTTACACTCACTCTCCTTGATGGCATATTATCTTCGTAAAGTATTTGAAGGTCTTCTGCATAGAGATTTGTCTGTTCCCCCCCATTTATTTATTTATTCAGTCATTTGTTTATATCAGTATGGGCTTATTGATATTTTATACTCTTAGTTGTAATCTAATATTATTTTGTTTATTTTAATGCCTTTTTTTTTTTTTTTTTTTTGAGGTGGAGTCTTGCTCTTTCGCCAGGCTGGAGTGCAGTGGTGCAATCTTGGCTCACTGCAACCTCTGCCTCCTGGGCTCAAGCAATTCTTCCACCTCAGCCTCCCGAGTAGCTGTGACCACAGGCGTGTGCCACCATGCTCGGCTAATTTTTTTTGCATTTTTAGTAGCGACAGGGTTTTCACCATGTTGGCCAGGATGGTCTCGGTCTCTTGACTTAGTGATCCGCCCGCCTTAGCCCCTAAAGTGCTGGGATTACAGGTGTAAGCCGCCACACCCGGCCTTTAATGCTTAATTTTTTAAAAAGTCCTCTTTAAGCTCAAAGTTCTGGCCACTAGGAGCTCTTGCAGTTGGCGCCGATGCTTCTTTGTTGTATCCCCATCAGTATGGGGTTTGCTTGTTTTTGAGCATTTTCTTACTTTCTGGCCTGACAAATGCTATGGGCTCATCTTGTGTATTTCCTGCCCCAGTCTTAGGATCAGTGATTTCTCCAAGGAGCTCTGGCTCTTTTTATTGGAGAATGGTATTAGAAACCAAGATCTGGGTGCTAGCTGTGCTCTTTGCTACTGGTATGTAGCCTCTTAGGACTTCAGTTTTTTTTTCTAAGAGTTGAATTAGATGATATTTGTAAGCTCACAGCTTAATGTGAATTCGGAACTTATATGTGAGCTTACAGCTCTATTTCTTATATTTTTATTTTCATTTTTATTTATTTATTTTTTTGAGATGGAGTCTCTTGCTCTGGTTCCCAGGCTGCAGTGCAGTGGTGCATCTCGGCTCACTGTAACCTCCGCCTCCTGGGTTCAAGCAGTTCTCCTGCTTCAGCCTCCCAAGTAGCTGGGATTACAGGCATGTGTTACCATGCCCGGCTAATTTTTGCATTTTTAGTAGAGAGAGAGTTTCGGGATGTTGGCCAGGCTGGTCTCAAACTCCTGACTGCAGGTGATCAGCCGCCTTGGTCTCAGAAAGTGCTAGGACTACAGGCTTAAGCCACTGTGCCCGGCCTGCCTACACCAGTATTTCTACAGTTTGGACGTTGGTCGGGCTTCATATTGATTGCCACTAATTCTTGTTAATTTTTTACCCCTATCTTTCCCCCCATTCCCTTTTTACCTTTTCTCCATTTCTTTGGCTTTTCGTTTTGTTTTTCTCTATTTTTCCTCTTGCTCTGTTCCCATTTCCTGTTTTTGATTACTATCTGTTTTAAATACTTTTCTCATATTGTGATTCACCAAATCTTTATTATTAAATAGTATAAAGTCTTTTCTCCATTTTAGTATATACGAATAACCTGGCAACTAATGAAATAGACACTATAGTAGAAACCAATTTCCTCTGCATAATTAATTGCCCATAATTCATTATAAATGGCTTTAATAATAGCTCAAAAATGTGAAATGTACCATGATTTATTTATGCAAACCAAATACCACAGTCATATTTGAATAAGGGAACTATTTTGACATAATATTGTTAACGCATTTAATCATCATGCATGGCTTCATATATAATGAGAAATTTTTATAAAGCAATATCTAAGTAAGCCAGTATCATTATTTTATGTATCTCTTGGTGTTTATGTCTTTTTCAGTTAAAGATAGAATAACTTAATTCTTAGAAATTCTTCCTATATTGAAACCTCGCCCTCAGCTTCTTATTGCTAGCTTTTATATGCTTACTGCCTTGTTTGCAAATGGATTAGATTTATTTTCTACTTCAGCTGACTTAGAGCTCTCATTGAACCTATGAAGTATGTCCACCAAAACATGCATGGTGTGTTGTATTTGTTTGTTGTTTGTTTTTCTCCCAACCTTAAATTCCTTGAGGGGCAGATAATGTTTTAAGACATCTAGCATCTGCCAGTTAAATGAATAAAGGGTTGAAACAGAAGCTCTCCAAAGGCATGGACCATACCTTACGTATCCGTGTAGCCGCTGCCTATGACCCACATTTATTGGCTCTCTGTATATATTTGTTGTGTTAAGTTTAACTGAATTAATAAGTAAATAGCGAGGTTCTTTAAAAATATCTTCATTGGTTATCTAGGTCAAGAAACACCTCCAAATTAGTTGTTCATTTTGTCTGTGATATATTACATCCCCCTTTTTGTGGCTTTATGATCTCCTTTTCTTATTAGATGCCCAGAGAAGTTCTTCACTTACAGAATTTATATACCTGGCACAGTGTCTTGTGTGCCAGCTACTTGTGAGGCTGAGGTTGGAGGATTGCTTGAGGCCTAGAGCTTGAGATCAGCCTGGGCAACACAGGGAGACCCTGTCTCTAAAAGAAAATAAATAAGAATTTGTAGTCTTTTAAATTTTGTTTAATTCAGCATTTTACAAACTTATTTCACCATAGACTCTTAATGCAACACAAAGCCTGGCCCCTAGAAGGCTCTCAGTAGATTTACTTGTTCCATGAATGAATGAACAAACTCTGTAGATGTCTTAGATAAGCCTTCCATACAATATATGCTTTTGGAAATGCTTTACTGCACACATGCCAAGACCAACGTGTCAGGAATGCATTCTAATTGCTGTATGTTCTTGCATTCCTGGAAGAATTTCTGTACCATGTCTCTAGAAAGAGGAATACTTTATTTTCTCATTTTCTCCTCTTCGTCCTCTCTGACTACTTATGCCCTCAGACATACCCCCATAGTGACACTTTATTATTAGAAAGGTGAGACTATGCACGTATTAGTGTCAGGATTTAACCCAGATCTCTCCGAGTATAGATCTAAGCTCTTAGCCACTGCACAGTCTTGCAGCAAGGCTAAGTAAACAGAGATTGCATGGCTGGATGACTACTTTGGTGCATTTCCAGAGTCTGTGAACCAAATAGCAGAGGCTATGACATAGCCTGTTCTTTGAGTATGCATTTTAGCGAATGTATATGAGCTCATTGATAATGTGGTGTATCTTGCAGACGTGGATGTTGTTGATCCTGATGAAAAGTCCATCATGACCTATGTGGCACAATTTCTTCAGTATTCCAAAGATGCCCATGGGACTGGAGAGGAGGCTCGGGTATGTTTTCTTCTGTATAAATCAAGCTCATTTTTGTTGTATCCTGCTAATGGTTTAACTTTTAAAATTGAGATATAATTTGCATGCAGAACTTAAATATACAGTTTAATGAGTTTTGACAAAGCATTCACCCATGTAAATCATATTTCAGTCATGATGTAAAACATTTCTAGTACCTGGAATATTCTACTGGGCACCTTTTCTGTCTCTGCTCCCCACCCCAGATAACCAGCATTCTAATTTCTTTCACTGTAGATTAGTGTTGAATGTTCTTTTCTTTTTTAAGTTGAGAGAGATAATTTATTAAACTTTACCGAATTATCTGAAACAACTTTTAGATAGGCACTATATAAGACAAATGAAGTTAAACTTTTAAAAAAACTCTAAAGATATCAAATTTTTGTTTGTTATAATATTCTATTTTTTAATTTTTTGAGACAGAGTCTCACTCCATCACTCAGGCTGGAATGTAGTTGGCTTACAGCAACCTCTGCCTCCCGGTTCAAGTGATTCTCATGCCTCAGCCTCCCAAGTAGCTGGAATTACGGACATGTGCCACCATACCCAGCTGATTTTTGTATATTTGTTAGAGACAGGGTTTTACCATGTTGGCCATGCTGATCTTTAACTCCTGACTTCAAGTGATCTGCCTACCTTGGCTTCCCAAAGTGCTGGGATTAACAGGAGTCAGCCACTGCGCCTGGCCTATCAAATTTCTTGTGTATTATAATATTTATTACCTTTATATATCTGTATCTATCTATCCATATCTATATATCTATATATATATATATAGATATATAGAATTTTTTTTTTTTTTTTTTTTTTTTTTTTTTTTTGAGAGGGAATTTCGCTGTTTCACCCAGGCCGGAGTGCAGTGGTGCGATCTCGGTTTACTGCAACTTCTGCCTCTCGGGTTCAAGCAATTCTCCTGCCTCAGCCTCCCAAGTAGCTGGGACTACAGGCGCATGCCACCATGCCCCGCTAATTTTTGTATTTTTAGTAGAGACAGGGTTTCACCATGTTGGCCAGGATAGTCTCAATTTCTTGACCTCATGATCCTCCTGCCTTGGCCTCTCAAAGTGCTGGGATTACAGGTGTGCGCCACTGTGCCCGGCTGATGTAATTTATATACAATAAAATTCATCTATTTAATGTGTTCATTTCAGTGGTTGTTAGTGTATTTACATGATCGGGCAACCTTCACCATCATCTAATTTTAGGACATTTGCCTATTCTTTAGCTTCATATAAATGAAATTGTGAAATTCATATAAATGAGAGTGTTGTGTTCTGTTGTCAATCCCTATTTGTTGATATACTCTTGAATGACTTTTTCTTTTTTGGTTTGTTTTTTGAGAGACAGTCTTACTCTGTAATGAGGCTGAAGTGCAGTGGCGTGATCTTGGCTCACTGCAACCGCCACCTCCCAGGCTCAAGTGATTCTTGTGCCTCAGCCTCCCGATAGCTGGGATTACAGGCATGGACCATCACACCCGGCTAATTTTTGTATTTTTAGTAGAGACAGGGTTTCACCATGTTGGCCAGGATGGTCCCGAACTCCTGGCCTCAAGTGATCTGCCCGCCTTGGCCTCCCAAAGTGCTGGGATTATAGGCGTGAGCCCCTGAGCTCAGCCTTGAATTACTATTAGATTGCCGTTTGATTATTCAATTTTTCCCTTTTACTTTTTCAGTCAGTGACATAAAATATTGTGGTTGGAAACTTCAGAAAAATTGCTGAGCAGATGAAAAGAAACTCTTATTCTGCTTCTATGATGATAAATGAGTGCTGTGAATTTAGTAAAATGTTTGAGAATATTACTTAAAAATGTGTTTTCAACTACATATTTACATGCATTTCAGACATGTTTACATACATTTTATTTGACAAATCGGGCCTGTGTTTTTCCAACTGTTAAGGTTGAGGCAATAAGCTAGATTGTTGCTGACTCTGGAAGAGAATCTCAAGCTGAGATGCAGGCTTATAATTCACTCATTTCTGGCCTGCTGAGGAGCTATTCTCATCTAATTAATTTTCATATTAAAAACATAAAATTAAAGATTCAACTGTCCCTGAAATTGAGTGCAAAAATATTAGAAAACTTCTACTTAATAGGAAAAAACAAAGTAAATGAAGGTTAAAGAATAGTGGAAATAAGATATAACTTCTTTGTCCTCTATCAGTAAAATTGGCTTCCAAATGTAAGCAAGGTTATCACCTAAGCAAGAATCTACAGAAAAAGTAATTGTTGTTCACATCTTAATGATAGCTAGCTAAAACCTTTGGTAGTGTTATTTTTAGGCTCTTGGAAGTGTTTGAGATATTTTTGATGTCAGTGTTTTTGCAGGGTGTGAACATCTCTTGAATTACCCCATATTTAGATTTATTGGAAGGCAGTCTTCTGAAATGCCTGCTATAAAGAAGTGATTCAGAATAAGGTTCTCTAAGCCAACACGGGGGCGGGGATGCATTGCTTGCCCATTTCTTTAGCACATTGTCATGTTCAGTTGCTGGTTTCAATCTGGTTCAAAATTTAAGGTGTTATATGAACAAGGAAAATTACTCTTTGGCATAATGAATCAATGATGTGTAAGGATGATATTATTTCACTGATGTTTCAGGTTGTTAATTTTTTTGTTAAAAATATCAAATCTGTTTAAAATATAGTTCTATTGTGTGTGTGTAAAATACAGGGAAAGGTGAACAATGCTATGGTCTGGTTGACTCTGCAAAAGGAAAAACTACAGAAGTTGCTAAAGGATTCAGAAAATGATACCTACTTTCAAAAGTATAATGTAAGTATGATTTTGAACAGCTGTTTGTAATTTACTGTTAAAGAGAAGAGCAGTAAGTATGTTTTTAGAAAACTTTCAGAGTGAAGTATTTTAAATATTAAGGGCAGATTTGAAAGCTGAATTCTAGGACTGTCCATCTGGAACTTTAACATGCGTGTGATCACTGGGTCATCCTATTAAAATGCACATTCTGCTTCAGTAGTTCCGCGGCAGGGCCTGAGACTTTGGATTTCTAAGGAGGCCTCAGGTGATGTTGGTTCTGCTGGTTTTTGGAGTCTTTTGAGAAGCATGGCTCTAGAACAGGAGTTGGCCCATTTTGTAAATGTTATTGGAACAGAGCCACATCCATTTAAGTATTGTCAGTCAGTACTTTCACACTATAACCCCAGAGCTGAGTAGTCGTGATAGAGACCATATGGCCCATAAAGCCTGAGATATTTGCTGTCTTGCCCCTTAGAATAAAAGTGTTCCAATCCCTGGTTTAAAGCAGAAGATGCTTTTCAGAATGAATATTGGATGAAAGAAAAATCAGGAATAGGGTCCCAGAATTCCTTTGGGAAATAATGACAACTGTGATTATTACCACGTATTGAACATTTTTTTTTTTTTTTTTTTTTTTTTTTTTTGAGATGGAGTCTTGCTCTGTGTCCCGGGCTAGAGTGCAGTGGCGTGATCTTGGCTCACTACAACCTCCACCTCCTGGGCTCAAGCTATTCTCCTGCCTTAGTCTCCTGAGTAGCCCGCCACCATGCCTGGCTAATATTTGTATTTTTAGTAGAGATGGAGTTTCACCATGTTGGCCAGGCTGGTATTGAACTCCTGACCTCAATTGATCCACCGGCCTTGGCCTCTTAAAGTGCTGGGATTACAAGCGTGAGCCACCATACCTGGTCATGTTGAATGTTTTTTAAGTAGCAGATACCTTGCTGATTTGCATTTTACATATTAAAATACCTTGCTGAGGTTGGTATTATTCCAGTTTTACAGTTGAATAAGTGGCTTATTTAAGGTTGCATGGATACTGAAAGATAGAGATGCGATTTGAATGGAAGCCTAGCTTTAAAGACCTAGCTGTTTTTACATTCTGATGCTTCTCCGGGGCAAGTAGTTATTCCCTGTACAGTCTTGAAAGAGAACAGGAAACAAAGCAAAGGTCCCTCAGTCCTGTTTGTTACAGCCCATTGTCTATGTAGCGCTGTGCTTCTCCGCAGTGCTCTGTCCTGAGCAAGCTGCAGATACTGTCAGGTACCTACACAGCACTTAGCACCTGTAGGCCTCCATCTCCCTGTCTGTTAAGTGGAAGAGTTGGATAAGTCTAGCCTTTCTAACCATAACATTCAATGGGTTGTATGACTTGCTAGCTATACGTTTCTTTTTGCTTTGGAAGCATAGGGAAGAAAGGGATCAAACATCTTTTTCTTCCTTTGGTCTGAACTGCATAGACTTCTTGACCTTCTTCCATTTAGCTCTGGTCTAAGATTTTTTCTTTTCTTTTTTTTTTTTTTTGAAACGGAGTCTAGCTGTCACCCAGACTGGAGTGCAGTGGGGTGATCTCGGCTCACTGCAAGCTCCGCCTCCTGGTTTCAATCGATTCTCCTGCCTCAGCCTCCTAAGTAACTGGGATTACAGGCATGCACCAGCACATCTGGCTAATTTTTGTATTTTTAGTAGAGACAGGGTTTTACCATGTTGGTCAGGCTGATCTCAAACTCCTGACCTCGTGTTCCACCCACCTCGGCCCCCTCATAGTGCTGGGATTACAGGCATGAGCCACTGAGCCAGGCCGAAGACTTTTTTTCTTGACAAAATGCTTATCATTTACTGAAAGTGCATTGTTCTCACATATGTCTTTTATTTAATCATGTATTAGAGATTCAGGTTTCTTAAATAGAAGGCTTTATGAAGTTATTAATTATCAGAAAGTATTAAGTAGTCTTTTGACTTTCTCATAACATTTAATTTAAAATGCTGTCAATAATTCTGGATAATGTTTTAAGTGACATTTTAAAACGTTAATGCTGATCCTTGCAGTACTTTCAGCAGCATGGTTCTAGCGCAGGGCTTGGCCCATTTTGTAAATAAAATGTTACTGGAACAGAGCCACACCCATTTAAGTATGTCAGTGGCTACTTTCACACTACAGCCACAGAGCTGGGTAGCTGTGGTGGCTCATGCCTGTAATCTCAACACTTTGGGAGATGAGGCAGCCCGGACAACATGGTGAAACCCTGTCTCTACAAAAAATACAAAAAAATTAGCCAGATGTGGTGGTGCTTACTGATCTGTAGTGCCAGCTGCTTGGGAGGCTAAGATGGGAGGATCGCTTCAGCCCAGGAGGCAGAGGTTGCAGTCAGCCAAGATCACACTACTGAACTTCAGCCTGGACAATGGAGCCAGACCCTGTCTCAAAAAAAAAAAAAAAAACAACCTATTTAATTGATAACTTTTTTTCCCCCTGAGACAGGATCTCTCTCTGTCACCCAGGCTATAGTGCAGTGGCCCGATCATGGCTCACTGCAACCTCTGCCTTCCAGGCTTAAGCCATCCTTTAAGCTCAGCCTCTTGAGTAGCTGGGACTACAGGTGTATGCCACCATGCTTGGCTAATTTTTTGTAGATCTGGGTCTTGCCATGTTGCCCAGGCTAGTTTTGAACTCCTGGGCTCAAGTGATGTACCTGCCTTAGCCTCCCAAATTGCTAGAATTACAGTCGTGAGCCACAGCGTCTGGCCAATTGATAACTCTTAAACACCCATATTTCACACAATTGTGAATCAAGAAAAAGCTTTACTTATTAAATATGTGAAGGCAGACAAAGTGTTTTTCAAAGTTCATGTAAAATGAATGGGGAAGAATAAGCTGAAGCTCAGTTAATCATGGACACTTTGAAAATCACTTACACATGACTACTACTGTCATACAATGTTCGCATTCATTCATTCTCATTTTGCTGTGAGCACATATTTAGGGAGGACAAACAAACTCATATTTTCCATGTGGCATCATGATCTGTTCTGTAGCCCTGTGACTTTGCTGCTCCATTCCAATAGAAATCCAACAATACTGACACAAAGCACAGAGTGAGACCTTTGATATTATGCTGGCGCCCAGTTATCACAGTGCCCTGAAGAAGGAAACCAGAGCAGAGGGAGGATACTGGATTCAGGGGATTTTACCTTTAAGTAAAAACTTAAATATAACCAAAGCTATAGACCTCAAAGTAGCAGATTATATTATATAAATGGAATTAAACATTTTCAGTCTTTAAACTACTCTTCTGATTGTAGAGCCTGCTGTCATTTATGGAGTCATTCAATGAAGAAAAAAAGTCCTTTTTGGATGTCCTGTCGATAAAAAGGAATCTGGATGAGCTGGACAAGGATCAGTTACAGTTGGAAGAAGCCTGGGATGGCCTCAATCACCAGGTGACTGTTTATGTTGATTAGAAGAACGATTGCAGGCTGAAAACGTGGCTCACACCTATAATTTCAGCATTTTGGGAGACCAAGATGGGTGGATCACTTGAGGTCAGGAGTTTGAGACCAACCTGGTGAAACCCCGTCTCTACTGAAAATACAGGAATTAGTCAGGGGTGGTGGTGGGTGCCTGTAATCCCAACTACTTTGGAGGCTAGGCATGAGAATCACTTGAACACAGGAGATGGAGTTTGCAGTGACCCGAGATCGCACCACTGCACTCCGGGCCTGGGCGACAGAAGGAGACTACGACTCACCAAAAAAAAAAAAAAAAAAAAAAAAAAAAAA